GGTGGCACCCGGGTTTTGTTGGGTCGTCCGGGTTCCCGGGCCACCCCGCCGGGTCGGCCGAGTCACGCCGGGTCATGGCTTACCTTATTTTTTCATCAACCCGGCCCGGTTCCAGCCCCGGGTCGGCCAGGTCCCGGGTCAACCTGTTGGGCCGGGCCGGATTTTAAAACTATGGTCGGGTTAACTCTGAGAATTTTTATTATTAAAAAATTATTTTATTTAAAAACAATAAAGTTACTTTAAATTAATTAAATTAATTTAGTAAATTTATAATTATAATTTTAAGATCAAGCATGGCTGAATAGGATAACTTTCACCAGTAAACTAAGATTGTAACTAAGTCAAATTAAAAAAAAAAACATTGAAAAAGACAAATTTGAAGTAATTTGGTTAAAAATCATGTTGAGCCGGTTTTACCTAATTAAAAATTTTATTACAATATATTAATTATTTATTTTTAAAAATTTAATTTAAATTATAATTATATTTTTTAAATTAGATATGACTCGACAAATCAGATCGATCTAGAATCAATTAACCCAAAACTAAAATTAAAACAAATTTTGAAAAAATAAAAAAAAATAAAAATTCAAGATAATTAGGTTAAAACCTATAACTCAAATCTTGAATAATATTAACCATCAAACCGAATTTAAAAATTACCCCAAATCTATCCACGAGTGGATGTTATAAATACATTCTTGGTTGCTATAACAGTGAGACCATAAGTTATAAAATCCAATTTGGATTTTTCTAGTTAAGACCTAGATTTGATTGGATTTCCAATAGAGTCGTACAAGCAATTGTTTATAGGAAACCTAGGTCAAAAAAAGAGGACCCATGGATCAATCTTAGTGACCCGGTGGGGCATAATGTGGTGCTAGGTTTGACAACGAGAACCTAGCGGAGGCTGCATGAGGGGGGCTGAATTACGGCAAAAGGTTCCGATAAGGCCAACGTAATTAATTCCTTGGGAATAATGCACAAACAATAATTCTCCCACCAAAATAGACTATTCTACAAAACAAATCCGAATCTTATATATGACAAAAAGTAGAATGACTCAAGTAAAAAGCAAGTTTGTTGAAATAATACAATCCAAATTTTAAATAAAAAAATAATGATTAAATTAATATAATTTGATAAATTTAAAACATATAGGTAAAATTATAATTTAATTAAAAAATTAAGATGATAATATATTGACTCAGTTCAATCTAAATTATCTTTTTAAATTTGTGACTCGGGTCATAAAATTATGATAATTTTAAATAAAATAAATCAAAACAAATCATAAAACTAATTTATCACCCCTTATTGAATGATACAATTAAAAAAATAATAATAGAAGGAGAACAAAACAAGCTTTCTAAACAAAATTATAAATATAGAAAAAATTATAAAAATGCAATTAATGAGCCTATGATTTATTTTTTATATTTTTGTTCGACTATCAACAATTTCGTAAGGTATTTTTGAATTCTAATTGCCCTGAAACTTTAACTAGAAATATAACAATATATCAAGAAACTCATAAAATTTCAATCTAATCCAATAATTGGATTGAAAGATGTAATTAATATTGGAAAACTAGATAATATTTTTATATAAAAAAGTTTAAAAAAACATTATTTGACCGAAATAGCATGGTTGAAACATAAATAGAACATTTTGGTTGGAATTTAGATGGCATTTTTATAACAAACTAAGATAAAATCTTTTCTAATTTATTCTATTTTTTTAATAGGAATGAGATATACATCTCTTTTAAATGAAACATGATTTACAACATTGCTCACTTTAAAAAATTAATTTATTAAACATTGATAAAAAGTTATTAAACCTCCGTCATAGATTAAATATGTTAATCATAATGAGTTAAAATCTAGGTAGATTTTAATATAGTAATAAGTTGATTTCAAGTTTAATCAAGTAAATTTTGAATCATATATCGAGTTAATTGATTCTAAATCAACCTGTCAATACAGGTTTAATAACACTAAATATTATATATGTAAGACCCAAACTTTGAACCCAAACTTTGAGTCCAAACTCAAACTCAAATCAGCTCAAACCCAACCTAAGTTAGATTAGGTATATAAGAAAAAGTTGTAAAAGAATTATTTTTCTCTCTTCTAATTCTTGTAGCCATCGTGACTCTCCACTCATCAAATTAAAAATTTTAGTTTTTGATCTTGAATTTTTAGTTCAAAAAAGGTGGAAATAATAAGTAAGTGATTCTCTTTTATATTATTTTCTATTATAGTTTGTTTATAAAATGATTAAAAAAAAGATTAAGGTTTATAAGGATTAGAAGTATATGTTGTTAAGATTGATTTATGATTATTAAGGGTTTCATGTTAGGTGATTAATTAATATGTTGATGGAAATAAGGATTTATGAGTTAATTTTTAAAATTAATTTTTATGAGTTAATAAGTTTATTTTAACCTTGCTAGAAAATCTGAACAGAATGGTTTTTGAGGTTGAAGATGATCAAATTTTATTTTGGTCCTTGATTTATAAAAATCTCAGTTTAGTCCCTAAACTTTGAAAAAATTATAATTTGACCTCTAAATGTATTTTGAGATTTTGGAAAATGTTATTGTGAGGTTAAGGATGATGAATCTTATTTTGATAATTAATTTGAAATATTTTCAGTTTGATCCCTCAATTTTGGGAATTTACATTTTAGTCCTTGAACTTTAAAAAATTACATTTTGGTCCCTGTATCATTCTAGACAGAGTTGAGGATGGTTTATGAGTGAAATTTCAATATGGTTATGTATTTACACTTCGGTCCAGTTTTGGTAAAATTACATTTTGGTCCCTGTTTTGAATAATTGTCATTTTAGTCCCTAAGACTAAGAGACTAAACATGGTTTTCTTTTATACATTGAAATCTTTTATTTTTGTTGTTTGAGTTGCTTTTGAGTATAATTTGTATATTTGTTATTAATTCTCCTAACGATCCTCAATAGATTTTTCGAGTCTTTCATTTGATATGTTTTTTAATCTATATTTTTTCTGGTGAATGGAATAATCTTTAATATGTATATAATATAAATAAATATGTATGTTGATTATATGATGAGTACGATTAGTTAATCTCTTGAATATTTATATATATTGCTTTATTTTTCGAGTGCTTGTCTATTCTTAAATTTGCACTCGTATTCTATCAAACTAAATTCTATTCGATATGATATATATTTTCTTGATGAATCTTTGAATATCTATTATGTTTTGATATAGAACTTTCTAGTAACTCTATGCTAACAAAGAATAGTTATCTTATGTGTACATAATATTCTGTATACCTAGTTAGTGAAAGAGGCATCAATCTTTAGCGGCTGATCATCCCACAATGATAATGTTTAAGTGTCATATGATCATTTTTTAGTGTCATTTGGCTACCCTCAGGTGTTATCTAGTCATCTTTGAGTATCATCTAATCTCTGATATGTATTTCACTACTTTATAATAATATATTTAGTATGTATATGTATATTAATATAAATCGATTTACAAACTATTAATATCTAAAAATCTATATTTAATGTTATTCTCTCATTGAGTTAGTTCAACTCACCCCTCATTCTTAATATTATTTCAAGTTCTTAGTTTCTAATAATAAATAAATTTTGTTGAGTATTCTTGCTTCTTTAGTTTTGGTCAACATGCCTAACTTATTTTGCAGGGCTTTCTTTTTAATTTTGATTCGATGTTTTAGACGTTCCATTATTATTTTATTTTAATTAAGTTTAGATTTTGACAATATAAGTATTATGAATTATTGTTTTTATTTTAATTACTAATAAAAAATTTTAAATTACTTTTTTGGTTTCATTAGTTTTAAATAATATAACATCAATGAAGATTATAAAATACTATATATTTTTGAATAAATTATTCTTTTAATATATCTATTTTAAAACTTAGCATAAATAAAATATTTTTTCTACACCGTTCCTGTATTGCCGGTCATGAATCTAGAATTCAAATTGTGATAATATATATATAAAATCACCCAAATCTCAATTTTCACCTTGATAATATTAGCAACAAATAATGGTTTACAAAAGATTATCAATACATTTATGATAAAATAACACAAAAAATGTGAAAATAATATAACATAGCTGTTCTTTTATACATTTACTACAAACAGCTTAACATATTCTCTGAGCTCTCAAAAAAGGGAAGAAACACTTGAAATAAACGATTGAAGTATCACAAAAATCACTCTCCCAAATACTTTTGAAGGAACACAAGGTTGTTTTACTTGGTTGCTCTAAATAACTGGCTTCCAAGGGTCACTGTTGGGGTTCCTTCCCCCATGACCGTCGTCAAGTTCCTCTCCTTCTCAAGTATGCGATCAAGTTCCATTACCACATAACTCATTATTGGTCTCCTATCACTTGAAGGTTCCACACATTGAAGCATCAACTGTATAAACTCTTCCATGCCTTCTGCAGTGAAGCTACTCCCCATTCTGTGGTCGACAATGGTGGAAAAATTGGTGTAGTCTTGAGTTTTTTGCACCTAAATGAAAAGATAAGAAATCCGTTTTAGCTCAAGACTGGTGACAATTGACTGATGCCTCACTAGCTGCAAGCTATATTGATTTCTGAAATATGGATATGTTTAAAAAAGAATTGTTGGCATTCAAAAGAAGCGCATGTATGCTTCTTTTGAGCGCGCTCCCACAGTGAGATGATGAAAATCTGTGGCAATTATATTTTGCAACAGCAAGACAGTGATGAAAACAATCTTTATTCCCAATCCTGCACATCCGCAGGCATTCACTAATTCAATCTAGTTGAACTAGTGAGAAATCAAACGAGCAAGTTACTTCAAAACATAAACATCACAGCATAATCTAAAGTGATGAAGACTGGTAAACTTACCCACTCGACCAGATTTTGGCTGGTCTCTGGAGATGGTTCTGTTGCTTCCTTGCCACTTAGCAACTCTAGAAGGAATACACCAAAACTGAATACATCACTTTTTTCAGAAAATTGTCTGAACTCTCTCACCCTGCATTTGTAAATGCCATATGCGTAAACTGACCAACTATAATGCGCTAACAGCTGTATAGAACAAGGAAAGTTGAGGAGTAATACTCCGGGGCAAGAAATATCTCATCAGCTGTCACTTGTGTAGATGGGCCTGCAACATCAACTCTTCCCAGGAAATTACGAAGTCCTGCATCCGCAACTTTAGCTATGAAATTTTCATCCACGAGAACATTGGCTGTTTTGAAATTCTTGTGCACCAAACGGGGAGTTTGAGAGTGAAGGTGAGCCAAACCTGCAGCGTGGGATGAGATACATGAGGTGGCATATGCACATTGAGACCGTTCATACATGGAAAGAGGAACCTTTCACAAATATTAAATCTTACAAACTCAAAGCATTTTGCGAAACCAATATTGATATTCCTTTTCTTCCCCCCCTCCCCTTTCTAGATTTTTGTACTGATCATTGGCATTGTATATAAAGAAAAGAAAAGCTGATACCAGGAAAGCCAAAATGCTCACTGATTTTGCAGAGGATCACCTTTAGCAGCCCCAAGAGCGATTGAAAGTCTATGCTTGAATTCTAGCTTCCCATCCAAAGTTTGACCAACTCCTGCAAGGAAAACATCATGACTTTATTGTAACTGAGAATCAACTATTATGGATACAGGGTCTGTCTACATGGAACCAAGGACAAGATGACAAGAGGAAACTGTTGGAAATGGCAATGTTGCATATCACATGATAATGCATGAAAAATTTACAGCTATATGTCTCATGGATACAACATACAGATCAAGTGAAAGTGGTGACTGGATAGAGAGTTACCATACAAATGATTGGAAACACTCCCACTAGAGATATACTCGTATACAAGAAACTGCATGTTATTTTCCTGACAGTAGCCCAAAAGTGTCACCAGATTCCGATGCTGAATAGGTGAAAGGTAGCGCACCTGATATTCAAGAAGTCAGTCCTGTTAGATCAAAACTTGGACAATGTGACATTAGAGATAATATAACAGGCATGCATGAATGACTATCAAGGACAGCATAAAGGAAATTCATAAGCTAGTTTTTGGTTCTTATAACAAAAGAACTCAGCTACCACACAGTTGAAGCTGAGTCTTCCAGCAGAAGGATCAACCCATATAAATTTGGGGGGAGGCTTCATTGAATAGCTTGAGTTATATTAAGGCAATAACCAGGCTATGGCATAAAACAACAAGCAATAGATTAACTTAAGAATTAAGAGGAACAAAAAGCTCAAATGATGTATGTAATAATTATTTAAATTTATTATCCATTCATCATAAAATTTGGCGAGCTAAGCTACCATCACAATCTCTGCCACTGTTCATGGCAGCATTAATGATGAAAGGAAAATTGGAGCTATAACGGGGAGAATCCACACTTATAGAAAATGGTTCTCGTTCATTAGGAATGTTTCATCTGTAAGACTGAAACCCGATTCTTTCAGCAAGTGATGCTTACCTCATCAACAAATTCCGGACTAGGAGCTCCAGGTCTCTTTTTGATGGCCACAATCATCCCATTATTAAGCAAACCCTTGTATACCTCCCCAAATTTTCCTAACCCGATCAAATTTTTCTCACTAAAACCTTTCGTGGCCAGACCCAATTCTTCCATCTCAAAACGCCTTGCTTCTTGTGATGACAACTCGATCCCTGCATGCCTTCCTACTGCAGGTAAACAGAAAAACAGCCACGTTTACCATTTAATCACTTGCTTGCGAACCTCGCTTGAAAGATAGATGATATAACTGTTACCTTGAACAGATGTTTCAGAAGATCCTGTCTCAGAAGTTCTTGACACAGTCTTTTTGTGATATAAGCACCAAAGAAAGAAAACAACTGCCCCCGCCAATGCCATGACTCCTGCAGCACCTCCCAGTATGGCTGCAAGAGTCCTTGACATTTAGTATAGGAACCACTTCAGCTATGCTGTAAGGTTTTAGTCCAATATGAGACAATATACATGGAACCTGGAAGGAAAAAAGGCAGATGAGCAATAATGAAGAAAAGAAAATCCCAGCACAAAAGGACGCAGCATTCGCGGTAACTATGGATGATGGAAACAAATAACACAGCAACGGTAGTGCAGGAATTGATAATTCTTATAATGAAATAGTTGTCTAGTCCCAGGAAAAGATCTTCTTAGGAGTCCACCATAAAGAAAATAACTGTTTAGAAAGTGAGCTAAGCGAAATGTTGAATCCCAATAGCAAATAACCTGTCAAACCCTTACCAATCAAATCAAACACACTATCAAGTTTATTCAAACCAGCAACTGCTACCTACCAGACTAGCAAAAGAGATGAGAAAACTCCTTGAGATTAAAAAGAAAATCTGAAATCTTCTAACCTGTATTCACAGATAAATTGAGCAGCCAGATCCCCAGAAACCTCAGCTTCATTTACCAACGACAAATTGATCAGTTTTCCAATGACACGATCACCAAAATCAAAATCCACCCCACATTCCCAGCAACAAGTTCTCCAAAAAATAAAGGAAAGAAAAGAAACCCCAGATGGTAAAAATGAACAAAGCTTAAAGGTCTGGTCTCAAAAGAAACAAACTGCTACTGATGCAGGAAAGAAAGAAAGAATGAAATCAATCAGCAACTTGCTGTACGTTTTTCTTTAAATTAATATTAAGAAACAATAAAGAAGAGAATCATCGTTGGATACAGTACAAACATTGCCGACAGAAAGTGCCCTCGCGCCGACAACGCGACCAGGGGAGAGATGGCTTATGACTACTCCCTCCTATGACTACTCCCTCGCCCTCACTAACAAACTCAAACAACAAAAACCCATTACTCTAAATATTCTAAATCACAAATATTCCTTTACTATACAAAAAAATCTTTACTTTAATTAAAAAACAAAACTCCATGTTCTTATTCTATTTTTTGGTTAAGCTCAGCTAAAGTGGAAAACTCCTATTATCAAGCCAAAAAAAACACTTGGATTTTTGAAATAAATAAGATTGAACAAGAAACAGACAGAGCTGTTGTTGTCGTCGTCATCATTGTTGTTGTTGTAGAAGAAGTAGTTTATTTTTTGTATGGGCTGTAAAGCAGTACAATTGTTGTCTGCTACTGCAAGTTGTAAGAGTTTATGTTGTATGTCCTCCCTGTAAGAGGGCCATCTCATCTTGGCTGTCTCTTGTCTGTACATATTTACGACATTTACTATACGACAAGGATAACGAACATGAGATAAAAGATAGAGAAAGGACAGAGAAAACCTTAACGTGTTACCAGAGCATCTCCAAGGGAATAAAAAGAGCTAAATTGGTAATAAGATTTTTTAAATAGAATAAATATATTATTTTTTATATATGTATTTTAATGGGAATTTTTTTTTTATAAAACTAATTGTTTTTTAATATATTTAATATTGATATAATTATCTCTTAATAATAAATAATTAAAACAACTCTAATCAAAACTTTTTTTATATATAAAAATCTATTAAATAAAATTTTAGCTCTTTTAACCAACATATAATACTTAGAAATGCTATTTTGGATATTCAATATATCTCTCTTTGAAACTATAAAAATAAGGGATAAAAGCTAAAATTATTGGTCCTTCTTTTGGCTTTTGTTTCTGCTCTTTCATGGGAGATATCCTTCCATATGTTCAAAAAAATTTATTTTATCAATCTTACTCCAAATAAAATAGGATAGACAACGGTAGACAAAATCACTAGTTCATTATTAGTAATAAACTCAAAAAAAAAAAACTAGGTAACTGATAGGTTGTTTAAAATCAATTATCTATTATTATTGAATTTAATTATAGTATTTGATTTTAATTCAATTAATAAATAAGTTGAATTTATATATTTTAAAATTCAAATTATTTTATTTCCTACTTGTTATATTCATTTTATTTCTTCAAATGTTTTTTTTTTAAAGAATGTTAGATGGGTATTTTGGAGTAATTAGTTTTAATATTAAATTTTTTTTATTTGGAATTGTAAATTAGAGAGGTTGAACTCTTATTGTAGCTTTTTTAGAGATTGAATTCAATTATCTACTATTATTGAATTTAATTATAGTGTTTGGTTTAAAATCAATTAATAAATAAGTTGAATTTACATGTTTGGGAAAGATAAAATTTAAATCATTTTCTTTTTTATATTACTTTTGTTACATTCATTTTATTTCTTCAAATGTTTTATTTTTTTTTAATGATAGATGGGTAATTTGAAAAAAATAATTTTATTATTAAATTTTCTTATTTGAAATTGTAAATTAGAGTTGATCTCTGATTTATTTTTGTAGCTTTTTTAGATATTAAATTCAATTATCTACTATTATTAAATTTAATTATAGTGTTTGATTTTATTTTAGTTAATAAATAAGTTGAATTTAATATTTGAAAAAGATAAAATTTAAATTATTTTTGTTCTATATTACCCGCATTACATTCATTTTATTTCTTTAAAGTTTGTTTTTTTTATAAAAAAAGCACTGAATAATTATTTTAAAAAAGTTAGTTTCCATATTAAAATTGTAAATAAAGGGGTTGACCTTTAATTTACTTTAGTAGCTTTTTGATAAATTAAATTTCATTTAGAATTTTAATTCTTAATACTCAATAGCTTTCGAACAAAAGATTTCATTAAAATCTGTTAATTGAATTTCATTTAGAATTTTAATTTTTAATACTCAATAGGCTTTCGAACATAAGATTTCATTAAAATCTATTAATTAAATTTTATTTAAAGGGTTTCAAATATATTGTGCGTTAATTCATGGATTATTAGATTAATTATTTTTATTAAAATAATATCTTTTTTTCTAGGATTATATTGAAGTTGATTGAATTAATAAAATTATTAAAAATCTGACTAGATTAACTAGATTTTACTAATTTAATATTTTTTAATTTAATTTAAAATTCAACTCGGATTAAATTTTCTAAACTAACTTATCAAAGGATTTAATAATTATTATATGATGATTATTCAGACGATCATTGTATTAGGATCGCAGGTGATCTAGTCTTTGTTCATTGAAAGCAAAACACAATATTTAACGTCGAGTTCAATACTTGTTACGTCCACAGTGCAGCCAATATTATTATAGGAGAGAAAACAACAAAACACATCAATGGAGGAGGGAGGAATCATCATTTCTACTCGACTCCCAACTCTCTCTCACTGCAGTGCTGCTTGTGGCAGCCGCTGCTGCTGCTCTCTGGCAACTCACTCCTCTTTTCTCCTCTCTTTGCTTGGGTCTATTTATAGGCTAACATGGCCACAATGATGGTGTTTATTTTCAGCATTTACCTTATCAGCAAAGTATGGAAGGTTATCTAGGGGATGCTTCTTAAAGTACCCTCTAGTCAAGCTGCATTCAAGAATGCCAGTATATAGGTTTCTAATCAAATCGTGAATGGATGAGTATAGATGCGCAGACTTAACCTGTTTGAATACAATTTAAAATAGCAGCAGTAAGATTACAAATCATAAGGAGCACAGACAGACCTTACGTTCATCAGCTACAATTGGTAGATTGAGACGATATTGTGCAGACATTGCAAGTTCAATCTTCTCTCACCATTGCCATTTTCTGTTTTTTTTTTCCGAACATCTGTAGCATATATATATATATTAAGACTATATTGCGCAGGCAGGGAACTTGTTTTGTATGTGCTTGCGAGGACCTTGCTTCAGCATGAAACTTCATCTTGTATTGATTTTTGCCTGGTACACCATTTTCATTAAGGATAAATGTTTGGCGTTTCAGGCCAATTGAAGGTAAATTTTATGACAAATTCAAGAGTTTTTCAAGTACCCGAAATGAGGTAAAAGCACAAACCATAGTGGAAAAAAAATTTCTTCAACTTTTACTTTAAATATATGCGTGTGGCTAGCGCATAAGACAATAACCAAGCACAAATAAGAGAATTTAAACCACATTGGATTTACGAGCTACATAGAATTAGAAGCCTTCAACATATGACAAAATCAAGTGCACTAAAACTACCTTCCTGGGGAATTGAGAGTTCGCATGCATTCAAGATTTACATTCATGAACGGAACTGAAGAGTCAATGAGCTCGTGTCACCTCCTGTCCTCCCTCCCCAGAAGAGTTCTTTGGTTCAATTTTCTTACTATTATTAATGAAAGAGGAAGGAAAATGGAGCTCAAAATTGCTCAGAAATCAATTAAGTACAATAGGATATCAAGATCTGTCCAGAGATGCTTGGAAGCACAACTGTCAACTGCATGCAAGTATTTGATCAATTAGAGCTGGAAAGAGGCTGGATTGGAACAGATATGGTAGAGAAGAAAACACATCTTCCAAAGACAGAAATGGTAGGGAAGAAAACACATCTTCCAAAGACAGTGTCAAGAATTAGCAAAACCCTGCTTTGCCTTGAGGACGAGCTCTTCAGTTGTGGTGCCAATAATCTCATTAGCACGTTTTAGCCCAACACAGAAATATCGTCCGAGAGAATCCTGTATTCAAATTTACTTCCTGGTCAGAGGAAAAGATAACCACTTGTGTACACGGAAGATAGCATGGAAAATTCATGCTTACGCCAAAGACTAGTTTCATCCAATAGCAATAATGTTCTCAAAATTCAAAAATTTCTATGCGTGACATTGTTAGTGTGCATGATTTTCAAAAAGGTGTCTCCCAAATGTACCAAGTCCAGTCTAATGCTTAGCCAAATGTCGGTTTAACTTTTATCCAATCATCTTTCAGATATACAGGTAGATTTCCCAGGGGTCCTATATTTTTATTCTCCGTGGAAGCCATTTGTGGCCTCAACAAATTGAAATACTTGGGTAGCAGAAGCTTTTGACAATCTTATTTAGATGATGCAAAAGATGCCTGCTTATCCAGCTGGTCCTTATTGGATGTCTATATGTGGAATGAAATCAACATCAATAGCTAAGATAAAAACTGTAAATTCTGATTTCGATCTATCAAATTCAGTCAAGAGAACTGTTTCTTACCCGAGCAACAATGCCCAGCTTCTCTAACTTTTCAACTGCATCATCCACATCAAAATTACAGCTCTCACCAAACTCTTCTTTAATCAGTTCCTCGCAACGCAAATCCAAATCCTGTTTCACATTATAACAAAGTTACACCTAAGAGACAGTGCAAGGGAAATTTTGTCCTCCAATGATCAAGATTCAAGAACAATAAACAAAAATAGAAAGAGGAAGAAGTGGTCCATACCTGCCTAGTAGCTTTGCCTTGTTCCATCAATATAAAGAAAGAAATAATAACCTCTTTGACCTGAAAAATGAATTAATTTAAGCATCTGTTACTTCATAGTTAACAACAAGAAGTCCCCAATCCTGGATCATTCACCAATAAGACACTGATTACTTCATAAATATCTTAGGGAGCACTTGCTCAGTACTTCTGGAGTATATTCTCCCTCCCTCACAAAAGTGGGGTTCACAGGCTGCCAGTATGCTCTTGAGCATCAATTTGGTACATGCTTTAGAGAGAGAAAGAGAGAGCAATTTGGCATCTTCTTTCATTTAATATGTAATCATACTAAAACAGCCCATGCACATGAAAAACGAGAGGATTTGTAAAAGAAAAGGTGATTTGAATCTTGATCACCAACTGAATCCCCAGTCCTCCTTTCCCTCACTCCCATGTCCAAACTCCTCACCCGAACAAGAATATTAGTTAGTCAACTACATGTTATGAATAGTTACAGCTATCTTCTTCATAAGTTACTGTTAATAGAACCATTGTACACGCTATATAGCTCATTGAAAGGAACAAAAAATAAATTCTTGCAAAGAACAAAAAATAAATCATGAAGCTTGAGGCTCACTTCCTGTTGAATCACATCATCACACAGGTGAAGAAGAGTACCCCTTCCACTATCTAGTTGTTTATCATACATAGACTGTGTAATCAAGTTTTGATATGCAGCCAAATTTTGCTGGAACCTGCAGGTAGTTGAAAAAAAATTGCCGCGTCAGTAATTAAAAAAAAAAAAGTTGAAGGAATGAAGGACATTTAAATCTAGAAAGAACATGTCATGTGACTGACAGAGGAGACTAGCTAAGTATTCAGTCTTGAAATGGGAAGCAGCAATAATGTTTGCAGTGTGCAGTCAGGATAACAAGATTTTGGTGAATGTGTGGCTATGAAATCTTAAAAAGAAATTGGAATAAACTCGAGCTTGGCATTACAACAAGGGAATTTACAACAAGTCAACCCCCTCCATTGATGGAGTGGATACCCCAAATTATGTGCGCTCCTAAAAGCATTGCATAAATGAAGTGCCAAAGGTAAAATAGCAGTTTGAAGAAAATTGGTTGACTGACCCATAGTTTTAAAATGTTACGAATCCCCAAGAAATTCTGCTTTGATTATCATAGAAATTATAATGGAAGAATAAAATAAGACTATAAGACCAACGGGTGCTTAGATCAATGATACTCATTCTTATGAATATGGGAGAGATTTAGAACCAGCAACAAGATCGCAAACTAGAGAAAAACTGAATATCAACATATGGTGTGGCACACAAGAAGGAAACTAAAATAACAAAACTGAAGTCGCATTTCTTTCTAAAACATATACTCTTAAAAAAATCTATCTTGTGGAACTGCATCAGTGGGCAGGTCTCACGTTTGAGTCCTGCTCTTGCCACCTAAGAACCAAAGAAAGAAAGGAAGGATGGTAACATGTAACAAAATTTTCAGAATCAATCCAAATCATCCAGTGAACCTTCATTAGATCCACAACCAATTTGCCACATGCATAGTGATAAAAATGAACAGAACATAATGATATTCTAGGAATTAAAAATGGTAAAAAGAAAAGTAATGAGAGAAAGAGAGAGAGACTTAACGTGAAGTATGTTTTAGCACAGTAACCAACAACTGTGGAAAGGACAGCAAAAATGACCCAAAGATCAGCCTTGGGCATTTCAACTGAACCAATCACAGCAACCTGCAAAGAAAGACATGTTAAGTCTATTTGAACAAAATAATTGAAAGCCAAAGTGCAGTCAACTGAAGCAACTTTATTCATGAAACTCACTAGCCCAACTACAGCAGAAACCAGGAACTTGACCCAGTCCATTGGAGTTAACCCAGGGTTCTTCTTTTCAGGCTGTTGAAAAAGAGAGGATGCACATGAAGTCAGGTGGATCTCTAAGATATGGGGGCGCAAATACATACTAGAATCAAAAATGAGATAAGCGGAGAGCAGTTAAAATCTCACTAGAACTATTTCCATATCAGCCATTGGAATGTTTTTGAAATGTTTCACATATATCCCCCGTTCAGTTTTTGATTTTGTGGGTGCCGACCTGGAAAAATGTCATCAATGCCAATAAATTAGATATGATCTTTTCAGGATTGGTTTCCATGCAGAATGCTTCAAAGAACAAGTTTGGCATTCCATCTCACTCTCCCAACAGATAAAATAAACAATACACTAAATTTAAGGAATATTGTGTGTGCGCTTACATAGAAGTGTGTGTGGTTGGGTGGGTTCAAGGAATTTAGGGGGTGGCCTCCCCCAGCAAATTTTAAAAAATTTCCCAATGTTGCATAAAATTTTAGATAAATTCTATGAAATAGGCCCCCCCAAATGCCACATCCTGGATCCATCCCTAAGTGGGTGGGTGGCTAGGTGTGCGCACGCATGTGAGTATGCAAATGTTGTGGCAAATGAGTCATTTCGACATGAAATTAATGGATCCTTATTCGTTTCTTAACATAGATCTAAAGGATGGTGAAATGAAACATCAATGTGAAAAGCAGGTTTCTTTATTTCCTTTAGCAATATAGGTCATAAAGTTTCAGAGAGACAATTTAGATAATTTTTCAGATAAATGAAAACAAGAAATACCTGTAAACGACTATGATCCTATCAAATGTAGGTTCCTGTATTGTAGTCTTGCTCAGCAAATTGCTGACACTGGAGGACCAAGGAAGAAGTAGGAATGTCATAACATAGGATAACCACAAGTGATTCAATACATGCAACTTAAGCAAGCACACACTTCCCAGGTGTTTGTGTCATTGTGTATGTATAATACTATAATACTTTCCTTTTGGCATTCATTATAAAAAAAAATTTCCTGCTTTGTCCGAACAAAAGACATATAACATGATTGATTTACTTGGTCATATAACAACAGACACAGATCTGGAGCAAGAATTTCAAGTTTCAAACTTTTGCTTAAATTCAAGCATCTTGACCGGAAAGTAATTTTTGGCTTAACTATAGTATACTTGCAGAACTAAATTATAATTTATATGAAGTGATATTTAAGTCAATAAAGAGATTTAAAAAGGATGGCCAGGAAAGATGTTAATTAAGTCAATAAAGAGATTTAAAAAGCATGACCAGGAAAGATGTTAAGTGCTCATCATAAGTTTCACTTTTCTCAAACTTCCGTTCATGAGCATGAGAGAGAGGGGGGGTTATTTGACAAAACACAGCATACAACCTTAAATTCATTTTTTCCAGTCGGAGTCTTTCAACAAACAAATCATCCTGATCAGCTTCAGAGTTAAGGTCATCATCCTTCTTTTGATCATTCTTGCGCTTTCCACTTGACTTTCTTGCAAAAACAATTTCTAGCCTGCAAGCACCAAAAACCCGGAAAGAATTGAAAAAAGATGAGGAATACATAAAACAATTTAAATTGTCAGACATGAAGGGAACAGTGTTCATATTGAAAATAATTTACATGCCAAATGTCCCTTTTCAAACAGTCAGTTCAAGTTTAGGAACATTAATGGGAAATAATTGCATGTCTCCTGATTATCTTTATAAGTTTCTAAGGAAAATGATCATTTTTTTAATTTCATTTGATATGGTTAAATACTATTCGTGCATTTGCCTATAGAAAGATGCAAACTATTTTAGATCTACTCCCTAAAATTATGGCCAGTCATATATTAGATAAAACTTAACATGTACCTCATCAGCCGGAAATTTCTTACCGGGTTACTCTTAAAAGAAATCCCCAAAAACGTCCAATCAGCATGTCCACTTTCTCCATGAAAAAATAATCTGTTGTTCTATCAATTCCAACCCCACGCCGAAAGATAATGTACTAAAAATAAGTAATGATAAAGATTAGTTTCCTTGGATGAATTAAAATAAGAAAATAAAACTCAATATCTATCATAAGTGTTGTAATCATCAATTTAAGACCTATCTGCACTTCATTTAATACATTCCCATTCACTAAAGAACATTCAACCACAATAACATTGGACAGTCATTAAGATCATGAAAGTTATTGCATCACATGGGTCAATATTGATCAAGTGAGTGAGCATGCATCATTCATCAAGGTCCTAGTTATCAAGAAAACTGAAGTCAAATTCCCTAACCTATGTCACCCATTAAAGCCATTACCTTCTTAAAGACCCAAAAAAGTTGAAATGAACTATTTGACGATAAGCATAAGATAAAATTAAGGAACAGAGGACCTTGCATCTAAAATTTTAACAAAAACAAAAATAGATAAACAAAAGGTATCCTTGAAACTGAAATTGCTTTGGATATTTTTTCTTTACACTGTGGCTCGTTTCTGCCTGGTGTATTTGCTTTTCACAAGGAGTATGATTCATTTTACGATGGTAGAAGAGTTCACTAGAGTTACACTAAGCATGTCACTTCATCAGCTAAAGATCCTAAATTCTAACAGTTCCATCTGATCCAGCATAATGCAAGGCCAGGAAACAGGCTTTGGTTCCAAAAGCAGTGACTTTCTCTTTTGCATGGAAAAGAAAATAGCACAATGTGGCAGAAGCAAAAAACATGAGATTTGGATACCTACAACTGAAAATGTTTTAAATTATCTTTCATTTCACAACTCTAGGCAACAACAAAGTCAATTGCAAAATTATGCTCCATCAGGATAAGGGAATTAGAGTTTAGAAAGTTGCTGCAATATTTCATGGCTTGAGCAAATGGTTTAGGCAAAGTTCCAAGATGATAGTGAGCACCGCAGAGCATTAAGTGTGAAAAATAATAATACACTCATGGCAGCTGTTTGAGACACAAGTCACACAAAAATGGAGAACACAGAAATGAAGAGGCATTGTTAAGGCCAAAATTCACATGAAAGTATGGGCTCTGGTAGTGCAATCCCCCTTCATGGTATAGTGATCCAGAACTGATTCGAATATTTTGAAACTTTTATAAGACTTATAGATATTGTTTAACCTCAAACTTTCACGGTTTGCATCAATTATTTCTTAAATTGCAGTGAAGTGCAAAATGCAAGGCCTAGTGCAGAAAATCAAAGAAATTTAGAAGTTGCAATGGCATATATATTGAAAAGATTGCATGCAAGCAGAATAGGGAGTGTTTGGTATTGCAGTTGCTAGTGCTTTTCACTGGTTTTGACATGTGACTAGGAGCCAACCATTCCACATGTTGCACAGGCATCAAGAGGCCACAACAACAGGGAAAATTTGCGTTGATTGATGCTCACAAAGGCAGTCATGTACAGAAGGTTTTCAAATGATCATCATTGTTTAAAGTTCAATTTAGTGCAATACCTTATCAGCAAAGTCAGGGAGGTTTTCACGGGGATGATCATTAAAGTAAGCCTTCAAAAGTTTCTTGTCAAGCTGCACAAAGGAAAAAAGATAAAGGATAGCGGAACAGAAAATCTGAAGATGCATGAAAATATCCATGGAACACACAAAAAAAATAAGTCGAAGCATGCTTGCATCTCTTCAAAATGAAATTACTCAAAGGCATGTGATCACAAACCTTGGACTCGTCAACTTTGATGGGAAGATTTAGAAGATATTGTCCTGAGAGTGCAACATCTATCTCTTCATCGGTTGTTATCTTGAAGTTGCTCTTATCCATCACCTTTTTATAAATCAAGCAGAAAAATAAATTGACAGCAGAATTATTTACCATCTTGATTTGATTCTCTGCTACATCCTGTCTAACAACCGAATCGCCCTCTTCAATTTATTATAGTTTAAAGTTGCAAAAAAGCTCTAGCTTTTGTTTATCTTTCAAAAAAGAAAAGGCCATCCTACTCCCTTCTTAACCATGACAAGAACTAGTGTTACTTGTTTCATTCCATGCATGTCCAAACTCACCCACCCGACATGAAGTAACAACAGGTGCCAAACCTGAAATAAGTAAGTCAAGAAATTCTGTTCAAGTACATCAATTTCCTCAGGAGATAGGTTCTGCTGCTCCAATTTCTTAGCCCCAGACACAGGGTCAAACAGCGAATACAATTGCTGGAGACAAAACATAAATGTGAAAAACATCTTGATTTGACAAAGCTATTGCAGTGTATAGTCTGAAATGAATAAAAACAACCAAAAAATAACCAGTACCATCAAATCCTCAAACTGCAGAAGATACCAAGCTCGTATGGTGTACTCAACTCTCTTACATAGTTTCAGAAACTCAGTCCTGTCAGAAACATGTTCTGCAACAAAAAAAGTCGAAGTTTTTTTTAGAATTCTCATGTCAGTTGCAAAGATTGAACCCGTTACTAATTAAATTAAACATAAAACAGATTCACATTCTCTTTCTTTCACATTCACATTCACAATAGAAGAGAAACAATCTGAAATCTGGTCTAAGGGACCCAATTGTCAGAAATTTGAGAAAACAAAGGAAACCCACAATTCTATTCTATCCATCTATGTGTAAAAAGAAAAAAGAAAGAAACTTGAGGAAAAAGATGATACATTACATACCAATGAGGTTGGCCAAGGTCATGATGAGCTTTGGTTTCAGAATTGGAATCACTGATTCCCTTTCCAATCTTATCATCTCCTTCTTCTTTCTCTCCATTGCTCCCTCAAAAAAAAAAATCCAAACCCAATTCTTCTTCAAAAACCAGCCTTGTTTCTGGGAAGTTTAGAAAGAAAGTAGCGTGAAGCTGAGGAGATTCTAGCTATGTATGAAGACAAAGAAAAGGTTTTTTTTTCCAAAACCAAAGACAAAAAAAAAAGTATATGAAGGGTTTGTTTCGGTTATGATTTGATGACTGAATCACTTCAGTTTACTTTGTGTGATCCATTAACTTTTCCTTCGTCTCTTTCACCACCAAGACCAGCCCGTCCTCTTCGGAGGGAAATTTCATTTTATTTTATTTTTACTGTTTAGACTAGAGTGAGGGACTCGATTGAAACAATTCAAAGAGTATAGGGACGGATTCGGGATAAGTTAAGTCCGTCTGTACTCTGTCGGATGTCGGTGGCCATTCCCCTTACTTTTGTTTGTCTTGTTTTAGTTTTACTTCCGCCCCCACTTGTGTTGTATTTGCAGCAGCGGGAGGAACTTTTTATTGATATATTGTTACAAGGGTGTTAAAAAAAACCGGCTAATATTAAATATTTGTATTATCTAACTTAATTTAGGTTTTATTTAAAATTGAGGTTATACTGTATTTTTTAAAAAAATATTTTTTATTTTTAATTTAATTTTTTTTATTTTGATATGATGATATTAAAAAAATAAAAAAATTAATGTATTTTCAAACTAAAAACATTTTAAAAAATAACTTTTAACACATTTTCAAACAACTTCTTAAGCTATTAAAATTAAATAATTTAGCTATTATATATGATAATAAGTTAAAAAATTTAATAAATAGATATTAGACTCAAATAGTGGGTTAGAATTTTTAAAACTTGGTTAGCCTGACCCAGCTTATATATCCTATATTTTATCTTTAAATTTGATAATTTATAGATTAAATATTTATTTTTATTTTATTTATAAATGTTTCAACTCCAAAATTCTTATTAATAAGCTTATTGTTGAATTTATTTAACATAATAAAAATATAGGTTTTGTTTCTTTACTTTTTTTTTTTTTTTAGATTAACGTGGGTGTCCGGGTCAGCTTGCGCGCACCACGACTAATCCCACGGGCCCTGAAGTTAACGACCATGTAAGCCTCCAGTGACTATTATATGAGCAACCAAGGACTCGAACCTGAGACCACAGAGAAAGCAAACCCCTTGATCCCAAGTCCTTACCACTTGGCCACCACCTAGATGATTTTTTTTTCTTTACTTGATATGATAGGAGGAGGGGGCAACTAAAATTTAATGGTGGTATAATATGTGAAAATTAAACTTTTAATCTAATATTAAAGGTGTCATGACTTCTACAATCCAAGTTGTAGATTAGTCTTTAAATGCAAACCCATGAAAATTAGTAATTTAAGCCCAACATGTGGATATTTGTATTATTTATAAAAAAATAATCTAACCCAATATAATATATTTAATTTACCTGGATAAAAAAAAATGAATGGTTTGATTTATAATTTGTAATATATCATAAGTTAAGTTGCATGTAATTATATCCATTGACACTGTTATTTAGGATTGATAATAGCTATAATAGCTAATGTCTTACCTGGTAGAAAGTTCAAGTTAGGGATTATTGAATCAACTTGTATCATTATTTTTATCAAAATAATATTATTTTTTTTATTGTTTTAAAAAAAATTGATTTTGGTTTAAAATTTGAGCCAACTTAACTCAAATTATTTCATAGTTATTATATTTAGTTTAGAATTTGAATTGTCTGTTATTATATTTAGTTTAGAATTTAAATTGTCTTACCTCAAACCTTAAATCCCAACTTAACTTGATAAACTCATGAAATTTAACAACTTAACTTAATAAACTTGATAAACTCACAAAGTTTGACATCACTTTGAATTCAATCATGAGTTTCACATCAAAGGGATTCAATAGTTTTTTTGTCAGATAAAAAAATATATTGCTTTGTTTAAATGCCATATTTGGTTAGCTTCAATTTTATTTTGAAAGCAAAGCAAAAAATATGATTTCAAAGAAACCCTGTGCGTTTTGTCGTGAGATTCACTCTTTTCTCAAAGTAAAGATGCCATTTTTTGAAAGCACAATAACCAGGCAATCACATATTGCTTTTGCTAATACTACTTTCAACTCATAAAGCAGCACACCACATTGTTTTTGCAGCTAAAACGCAGCACATCACGCATCAGACCAGTAATACCACGTTGGCCTTGAACCTTCAATACACTGAATAGACGCTTCAAATAATAACGGTAACAGCAAAGTTTTACACTTTTTTAAATTAGTTTTCTTATTTAAAAATATATCAAAATAACATATTTTTTTAATTTTTTTAAATTTATTTTTGATATTATCGTGTTGAAACAACCTCAAAACACTATAAAAAAAATATTTTTTGAAAAAAACACGGCGTGGCAGCATAAGCAAACAGGGTCACTGATATCTACTTATCTGGCTTTATTCCATACACCATTCTAACGGGACAAAAGGTCCCATTTACCACCTAGATATTCTGCCAGTGTGTGATAATTGTGTGTTTTACAACATCGATATGATCATATAGCTTCCCACAAAACGAACACGCAAAATCCTGTATGTGCAGACTCTTGGAAGTATTTTGTTTAACAGAGATTGCAAGTAAATTGAGCATGCTAGGTTGCAAGAAATGAAAGAATCGAAAACCAGTAAATAAAAAACAATGATGCGAGAGCCTTTGGCAATTTATAGCCTTAAAAATTATTGAAAGATGTTTCTCGGTGAACAAAGGGAGAAAAAAAAATGTGACTGGAAACAAAAATGCAAGGTGTAACTTACCTACCAGATAGAAGATATCAGAACCTTTTTTATCCTTCCTCATCTTTGCTCTCACCTGCCTATCTAACATCTGGATATTTACATGCTGTTTGAATTGGCTCTCGTATAAAGTATGTACAAAAACCTATCTCGGAATTTGTCGCAAGATTTTGCACTTCTGCAAATCTTGCATAAGCTCAAAAGTTTCTTCCCACAACCTCTATAGGTAACAAGTCAAGATTTCTTTTAAAGACATCTTGAATTTGGCATTTCTTCTCATGGTCATAACCTTGAGTTTCACCTGCCAAAAATGTGAGGAAAAACATTCATTGATTCCATGACCTTAAGTGTGGTTTTCCCACTGGATCATGTAAAGCAGAATTGTGTGGCAAAGTCATCCATCCCATGTCATCAGGCATCAGGGAACTAGCAGTGTCACGCCCACCAAAGTAGTCAAGTGGGTGAACTGCTTGTGGTAAAGTATTACTGATCCTGGGAGTAACCCCACTCACCATACCATAGTTCCTCGGCAACACAAACTGCTCAGCAGACCCCACTAAATCAAAGGGACCACTTGAACGCTGATTGACAGGGCTACCTGAACGCAATTGGTTAATGGGGTTTCTCGTATGCAGTTGGTTACACTGTGATAGAACACTAAATAGGCTTTGATCTGCATTAATTCCAAAGCTCTGGTTTGAGACACTAGGACCAACTGCACCAGTCCAGTCCCTGCAAACTTGATGCTCCCCAGAGAACCAGTTCTGAGTTAACAATCCACCGTCATTTAGATGGGATTGGAGCCGTGCTGGCATACGAACAGGATTAACATTCCAGTCTTGCAGATTGACTGGTGGTGCATTTCCTTGTCTTGGAATCAAGAACCCTCCCCCCTCGGAATAAATGTCCTCTGTTATATTTTGTTGCAAGTAATCCTCAGTGTGCCTCTTCTGTCCCGGTTCAAGTGACAGCAAAGGCTGAAGCTGCCCCTGGAGATTTCCTGTAAACTGGCCATCTTGCATTATAACACCATTTGGTGATTGAAAATCTAGCCCGTTTTGTTTTTGTTCCCTTTGGTAGGATAACATTGCCTGACTTTTGAACAAAGATTGAAGCAATCCACTGCGATCATGGTTTGGGTAAGAACTGAAAGAACCATCATCAGATTGTCCATGCAACAAATTTTTCCCAGCATCTTCTTCGTGCACTTTAGATCCCAAATCAATTAATTGAGAACATTGCTCTCCATTAACTTGATGTGGCAGTGACAATCCACCAGCAGATGTGTATTCATGGTTTGCACTAGAATCATAATATGAATTAGGTATGCTAACTGCTGACCAGACATCTCCACCAGAAGAAGATATAGGGATTCCCTGATTGATGGAAGTATCTGTAGCATGCACACTGCCTGAGTACTCAGATACATGTGGAGAAGCTTCATCTGAATTGGAGTTTGAATGGACATGATTATTTTCCATATTCATATCTACAGGGTTAAGATCCTGGCCAACAGAAAGGGAGGAAATATGCTGTGGAGACTGATCCTGTGGGGAGATAGAACCAGAATTGCCATCATCAGAAATGTCAGATTCTTGGTATCTTGTTCCATGATCATTCTGACCCTGAAGCATGATCTCATGGTTTTGTTCTTGCATATCCTGAAAAACCAATGATAAGAGAGTCAAACTTCAAATCAAGAATATTTATACCATCGTACAACAATGAGACTTGAGTTGAACAGGTTTTGTTGGTCAACAGATGATATTATCTGGATAATTAAGCATGGAGCAAAAGAAAATGGGGGGAATATAATGATGACAGAGAAATAAACCTCCATGCTGGTTTCATGTTTGTTTGCACATTGATCACTCTGATCCTGAAGCACAGTCTCATGGCCATCCTTCTCCAGATACTGGTTCGGAAACCAAACAAGTTAAGCATAGAAAAAGAAGATTTCTAGTTTTTCACACAATTTCTGCTGGACTGGACATACAACAAAATGATATGAGCCCACAGGAGCGGGTGAAAGGAAAAATATATATGGCCAGAATGGCAGACCTCCACTGGATATTTTAATTTGCCTTTCATCTCTTGCTTCATAGATTTGGTTATCTCCTGTCTCTGAAACTGTCTTTGTCTCCAGATCGCATATGCTGCAGGAAGATCTTTGTGTGCCAATTGCATCCTACATGAAGCAAAATCCTATTTTGAGGGGGAAGAAATCATATATTTTTGTGTTCATAAAAAAGGTGCAGTCCAACTAACCAATGCTCCAGCAACTTCTTATGCTCCTCTTTCACAAATTCTTCATATGGTTGTACATGCAAAGTATCAAGGTCACCTAACACACAGTTAAGAGACTTAGATTGAATGCTTTTACCGGATTGCTTCATGCTCTTGACAAGTTGGTGCTGCTTCTTGCTTATCTGAAATATCAAATGCAGATTATCAACAAAATCCTCAAAAAAAGAAAGGAAAAAGAAGAAG